ACGTAAAATGTTTTAACACTTGCAAAATAACCTGTAATTTTATAATTCAGCAATTTGTAATAAAATGGTGCACACCCTTTTAGTCGAGCATGGAAATAAAAAGGTCCACTTACACTTGGGCGCAGTTACATAATCACCTGTTTGTGTGCTCCTTTCACAGATGCTTTGTAGATGACCCCAGTGTGCCTGTCAACCCAGTAAACTCTCTGTTCTTTGAAATGAAAGTCAAGCAGGATAGAGCTTCCGACGCCAGGCACAAGCCTTCTGTGATTCTTGCCATTAAGGCCCATCCGATGAATAGCTTTACCATGGCCAAATATCAGGAAAGGCTGTGAAGCTTAGCAAATCATTACACACGTTATTAAACTTACAGTGAAGATCATTCGAACGCCTTATGTCTGTAAAAATAATATCTTAAGGAAACACAGTTGTATAATGACTCAACAATATTTAGATTTAGTGACTAATGATTCTGTGAGGTTTACAATAACAGACTAAAATTATATAAAATATAAAAATTCTATAATTGCAAACATTTAGCATTTTTAATTAATAGGAAATTCACAAAAAAGTCACAAATCATGCCACATTTTAACAATTTTTATAATTTTCACAGTGAATGAGCATTTTTACTTTCTTATCGTAACCATATAAATCCACAGTATATATAGGTAACTATGGCAGCATTTGACATTTCAATAGCTCCTGCCCCCCTCTTTGTGTCGCTTCTGTTGTCGTTCAATTTGGCACATTATTTGATTTAAAGAAACCTATTCATCCCTGTAATGGGAAGTTCAAGGCAACCACAGCTGCCTCTGTGTAAAACCTCATCCCTTAGCAACAAATAGCTTTTGCTTTTTCCTTTGACTCTGACAAAACTCTGCAATGAATGAAGAGGAAGGCAGTTAGTGTCCTCTAAAAGGTTTTTGATTCAGGTCACAACATCACTCTGGGATTCTGCTGGGAAGTTATGATCAACAATGATATTTCTACATATTCTGATTTTGTATATTGGATGATTGCTGTGCATTTGTTGTCAGATAAATGTAGTTGTTCTAGAACTAAGCTTTCTTTTTTTTACTCTTGGAGTGAACAATGACATTGGCGAGGTAATGACACTGTCATATGCAACCATAGACGCCGCTCTTAACTCTGTGGAATGAAGAAAACAATGAGCAAAACCAGACAAACAACATAATGAAATGTCTGCCATTGCTGCTGAGTTGCTAGGATGCATCCTGCTGAATCACTGATTGGCAAGTTCACTGGAAGGTCAGTGTGATTCTTGACTCAGCTCTGTCACTTGGACTTATTTGTGAACTCTAACACAAAATATACTACAATTCATCAGTTCTTCATTGATTTACTATTTTAAATAGATGTAGTATGTATTTAATGGCATTTCAGATGATAATTCAGTTCACGTAGTTACAGACTAGTTACCTATAAAAACAAAGAAATGCAAGAATATGAAAAAAAGAATTGTTAACTCTGCAATAAACAACACTATACAGTAAGTAAACGGATTGGGCAAAATAACAATATACACTATAACATGAAATTGTTGAAAGATCTCGTCACATATTTGATTTTAGCTGAGGTGCTAGTGTTATATGGTAGCACTGGATTTGCAGTCCTGTTGAATCAATAATGACTAGTTATTTAATTATTAATTAATTAATTATATTAACTAAAAAAAATGCTATAATAATAATACTATTATATTATTGCTTGAAGGTCATGCCATACATTTTGTTTCACCACACAAAATAAATTAAAGTTACCATTTAAACGATTGCAGCCATATCACATCTATTAGGATCCCCAAATACACGCTGAAAACAGTGATGATATTTAAGGAATATGGAGTGTAGTAGAACATAGTTTCTAGTTTCATGACCAGTGTTTGGGCAGCAGATTTATGTAGCTCGGGTGAAAAGGTCCTGTTATGACTCTGCTTTGCACCTGTATTCCTAAAAATCTGTGCTGCCAGATCAGCGCATGATGTTCTGTAGCTGACCTCTGTTTGGTAGACAGGATAGTGAGAGTGAAAATCACACTACTGCACTTAATATTTTATGTCCTGCTGAGATGTGGTTGTTTGGTCATCACCATTTGTATTTTTGAAGTAACGTCTCTGTGGTACTCCACAAAAACTCAACCCGAGATACACCCACACAAACACAGTCTGGCTTAGTACAGTGCATTGTGTTGTCTGCCAAGTTCACTTTGCTGTACCGCCTACTGTAGCGTGTTTAATGCAAGCAACATGTTTGGTTCTACTTGATTACATTTTTTTTAAACTAAGCGTCATTCCAGTCCTGAATAGCAGCTGTTGCATGAATGCTTTATATCCATGTGGAGTACAGAAGAACTTGTGTAACTGAAAATACAACCCAAAACACTAATTTCACTAATTTTTAGGACATAAAGTGTTATACAGTGAACAATCACACTTTTTAATATTAAATAAATATTTATTTGTAATATCTGTCTTTAATTCTAAGCTAGTTCATTTTCTATCATGATATGTATTTTAGAAATCTTTGTTTTGAAGTGAAAAGACCACACAGACAGCAGTACACTTCAACATTACTTCTTCCAGTACGGTCAGTTGGGACTGTTGGTTAGGAGAGGTTTCATACTCACCCGTACAGCTGCTGTTGCTCCCTGCTTGCAAGAGGTGCTCATCCCAACATGTCGTACCGAGCAGCAAGGCTCCAGCGGTTTGCATCATAAAATAGATCAATATTACTGTTATCATTGCCTCGGGCATAATCCTGCACTTTGTCCCTGCTGGTCTTCTTCACTCTTTCTCAAGCATTCCCACTATCAGCACTGGCCCACAAGAATTCTCCAGGTTTACGTACTGTAGGTTTGTGGACTCTTGGCATCCTTTGTCTAATGCTTTAAACCTAGTAAGAGAGTGGAGCTTTACATACCCGTGGATGTCACACTAAAGGGAATGCAAAACCCTACTGAGATAGAGAATAAGGGGGTAATGCTGTCAGTGCAGTGTTGAACCCAGGAAAAAAAATGTTTGGATCCTGCTCAGTCCCTACTTTGGGCCCCTGGGCTGCCAGTCTGTTTTGGAAGCAAAGATTGAAATTCCTGACACCCCCATGGTAAATTTTGCACATGCAAGTCCAGCAATGGTGCAAGATCTTCTAGAAGTTGCAGTTCAGTGCTCCAACAGAATGTGGGATATTCAAGAAATGAGGCAGGGACGAAAAAAGGTCCCACATGATAACAACTTATTAGCTTTCTCCCCACCCCCTTACATGTGTGCTTTGTGAATGTAGATAGATATCTGTTTAAGAGGTAGGCAGAGACAAGGAGACAGATGTTGCATGGAAAGTTGTCAGACAGAATCTTACAATACTGAATTTGTCATTTATTCAGGAACTAAATGAACCTTTGGTATTTTTGAGTCATTCTTAAATGGCATACATACAGTACGAGTGTAATTTACACATGCCGCATACACAGTAGGTCTTCTGTTTTGTGTCCTGTGTGTGTGAATGAAGAGTCAGTGTGTTATACTGTCATCTGTCGAAGTTCTTCTGGCTCCCAGAAGGAATGAGCAGAATGAGTAATTTATAGAGAACGATGGAAGAGTGGAGCAGATTATCCTTAAATTGTTTGTCCTCCTCTTGCCCAGCATGACAATTAACAGAGGCCAGGAACTACAACCTCTATTCATACCCAGCATGACTAGGACATTGTCAGGAACAACGTCCTCGCTAAAGAGCAGCAGTATGATTTATAATGCTGAGAAAGTTGCCTTGTCCCCAGACAAACACACTGAAGGGCACTGACCTTTTCCCACAATTTCACCCTGGGAGGTAAGAATAAAAGTCTAATGTTCATAATTACTCTTCAGGTGACAGTGTGTTGGATGACAGTGACACATAGCTATGAATCATCAAGTAGAAACAGGATCTGGGACACGGTGAGATTGTGGCTATTATAGCTGTATTAAAAACTACCTCCTGCTTCTGTAAGATAAATGTTGCCAGTTCTGAACATGAGAATAAAATGATTTTTTTATTCCCACAGGGAGATTCTTTTGTAAGTCGTAAAACTAAAAACATTAAAAAACATGCCGTTTTAGTTTCAGTCATAATGCAGTGAAAAAAGAATTGATTAAGTGTGATCAAGTAACTGTGTGGACACAGTGAGGAAGCATCTCTTGTGACATTCAATAAAAGATTTATTCATTCTTAGTCTATGGCTAAAGATCCTCATTGGGTGGCCAGAACACTGTGTAGATGGTGGGAGGTATTGTTTGTGATGGAAAGAAGATTTGCAACAGCCTCTTCTGAGTCACAGCATGTAGATGGCCTAACACCACCCTCAGTGAGCTGCCCTGAATAACTTTATTACTGTCACATACTTTAAAGGAGTTGGGCTTCCACAGTTGCCTCCTGAAGAGGGCTGCAGGTAGTTTAGCCTAGTCCTTTCCTATTTGTACTCCTGCACCATATTTAGCATTTTCCTCCTGATGGAAACGGGAGTAGCAGATGTCCTGGATCTTATAAATATTCCTTCACCATAACGCGGCCCTTTTGGCACCCTTATTATTGGCTTATTTGATTTATTCCTGTTCACCTGAGCCATCAGGAAACCTTGTCAACAATTCTCAGTTTCTTTGTGTCTCTCTGTGAAATGCCAAACTATCAACCATCAGATGGTTGTTTGTGACCTGTTTGGAATCTAAGTCACCACTAAAGCTTCCCATTAACCTGATGAGACTAGTCTTTATTTCATGCTATAGCAGATGAATAAGTACAGTCTTTTTCTTATATTGATGTTTTGTGTTCTGCCTGTATTTAAATGTGGTCAGTTCTCCACTGTACTGCTATAATGGCACCAGTCATGGTAGTGAGGAAGCACCTCTTGGATCTTATAAATATTCCTTCACCATAACACGGCCCTTTTGGCACCCTTATTATTGGCTTATTTGTTTCCATGGTCTGATTTATTCCTGTTCACCTGAGCCATCAGGAAACCTTGTCAACAGTTTTCAGTATTTTTGTGCATGTCACATTCAGTTGCTCTGTCTCAATGTTGTTGTTTTTTCAAGCGCCTCAGGTAAATAGCACCTCTAACGAAACTAAAGATGTCACGTCTTTATTGATCTGTTGATTCTTTTTTTTGTTTTGTCTGTTTTTTCAGCTGTGTGCTCTCAGCCTTTTTGCCT